TGGCATCGTTGTGGCACTGCGGGAGGCCCCGGATGGACATGTTGTCTGAGGAATGGGAGGGGGAGTTGAAATGGTTTGCGACTGGGAGGTGCAGTTGTTTAGTGCGAACCGAGTGTAGGTGTTCTGCAAAGCGGTCCCCAAGCCTCCGCTTGGTTTCCCCGATATAGAGGAGGCCACAACGGGAACAGCGGATGCATTATATCACATTAGCAGATGTGCAGGTGAACATCTGCTTGATGTGGAAAGCCTTCTTGGGCCTGGGATGGGGGTGAGGGGGGAGGTGTAGGGGCAGGTATAGCACTTCCTGCGGTTGCAGGGAAAAGTGCTGGGTGTGGTGGGGTTGGAGGGGAGTGTGGAGCGGACAAGAGAGTCACGGAGAGAGTGGTCCCTCCGGAAAGCAGATAAGGGTGGGGTGGGAAAAATGTCTTTGGTGGTAGGGTCGGATTGCAGATGGCGGAAGTGTTGGAGGATGATGCGTTGGATCCGGAGGTTGGTGGGGTGGTACTTGAGGACGAGGGGGATTCTGTTTTGGTTGTTATTGCGGGGAGGGGGTGTGAGAGATGAGTTGCGGGAAATGCGGGAGACACGGTCGAGGGCGTTCTCGACCACTGAGGGGGGAAGTTGCGGTCCTTGAAAAATGAGGACGTCTGAGATGTACGGGAGTGGAATGCCTCATCCTGGGAGCAGATGCGGTGAAGGCGAAGGAATTGGGAATAGAGGATGGCATTTTTGCAGGAAGTTGGGTGGGAGGAGGTGTATTCTAGCTTCAAAATCCCCCCCCCCACCCCCATCGCATCCCAAAACCAGCCCAGCTTGTCCCTGCCTCCCTAACCTGTCCTTCCTCCCACCTATCCCCTCCTCCCACCTCAAGCTGCACCCCCATTTCCTATCTACTAACTTCATCCCGTCCCCTTGACCTGTCCGTCCTCCCTGGACTGACCTATCTCCTCCCTAACTCCCCACCTACACTCACCTTTACTGGCTCCATCCCTGTCTGTCTCCTCTCCACCTATCTTCTCCTCTATCCATCTTCTATCCGCCTCCCCCTCTCTCCCTATTTATTTCAGAACCCCCTTCCCCTCCCCCATTTCTGAAGAAGGGTCTAGGCCTGAAACGTCAGCCTTCCTGCCCCTCTGATGCTGCTTGGCCTGCTGTGTGTTCATCCAGCTGTACACCTTGTTATCTCAGATTCTCAAGCATCCGCAGTTCCTACTATCTCTATATAAGATCTCTGAAAACTTATGGGTAAAAGTGCTGACTGGCTTCAGCATTAATCCATACAGATTAGAAAAGCTGGGGTTGACTACCAAGTTTATGCTGAGTTCACTGGTCTCATCTTAGCTGGCAGTATGGATATTACAACTGACCTTGGCAACCATAGGAAATCACTGCTGCAAATGTACACCCCTTAATATTTGATGAGAAAAAAAATCACTTGGATCAAAAAGCTAGCCTGTGTTTGTTTACTGTATCATGAATGATATTATTTTGGGCAACATTTCAGGAGGTTGCCAACATGGTTTTTGAATCTCCTATCCCAGAGAAGCATTAGTATCTGTGGAAGAGGTAAAGAGAAGAGAAATAATTGGTTGTTTCTTGATTAAGTTCATTATGTAGTGAGGCAGTAGCATGGTGATAATGAAACTTGACTAGTAATCCAGAGGCCCAGCCCATGCTCTGAGGACACAGATTCAAATCTCCTTTATAGTACCTGGTTGAATTTACATTCAGTTTATGCAGCTGGAATTTGTCTCGGTAATGGTGACCATAAGACCGTTGTCGAGTGTTGTAAACTCATCTGGTTCATAAATATCCTTTTTAGGGAGGGAAGTTTATTCCCCTAAGTGAGGGGGGTACTATATGTGACTCCAGAACCACAGTTGGCTCTTAACTGTTTTCTACAGTGGCTAAGCAAACCACTATTCTGTTAAAGGACACTTAGTTGTGAAGAAGTCATATTGAACTCAAAATATTAACTATGTTTCCCTCTCCTCAGATGGTGTAAAACCCATTGAGTTTGTCCAGTACTTTGCGTATAGTTCAGGTCGCCAGCATTCTCCGTACTTTGATTTTATTACAGGACCACTAACGATGGGCAACAAATGCTGGCCTTGCCAGCAACAACATCTACATCCTACGAATAAAAGAATAATGAAAAAACCTTTCCTTCTCCACCATGATTGAGCAAAAGCCTGAATGTCTTAAAATATTTTCAGTTTTCAATATTTTATTAATGCTAACTCTTTATCCAGCTGGTAGTGACTGAATTGGCCTCCATAACTATCAGAGTTAGATTTGTTTTGTACTGTTCCTGTTATGTTAAACAGACCGGAAAATAAAATCCAGTAGCATGGTGTCCGTAAAGCCATTTGGTTACCCCCAAAAGATACATTTCTTGCTCAGCCCTGCTTGAGAGGATATGAATGGTCGAAAGATAATCAGTATAAACACAGAAATCAAAATATTGCAGTGCAAGCCGCACTTTAAAGGAAAATGAATAGAACTTTGTACAAAGCCTTTGCTATTCAGCCAATAATTTAAAACCTCCCCTGGGTGTTCTATTTGTGTTGTGATAATATGCAGAAAGTAGTGGAAGTCATTCCTCATGAAATGTGACTGGACTGTGGATTGTGTGGCTTCAGTCCATTGAATGTGTGCTGCTTGTTCTTTCAGGCTTAATTATAACAAAACTGCCAGTGTCATGCTGAAATCCATCTGCATAATAGGAGATGAGAATAGATTGTGATAATTCCATCAGTTTGAAATGTTTATTTTCCAGTCTAAGAATCCAACTTCCTAAATTGTAATAATGGTTTTAACAGTGCAAAGTGCATTTTCCTATGTTTGTAAAATTGAAATTCTTTAGTTGCTAAATAATTAGCATGTGATGTGCAAGTCATGGTTTATTGTGGTTGTCGTTGGACAGTATTCTGTACCACCGGATTTAATGCTGTTATAGGTACAGTACCCCCAACCTGGCTGTCTGAAAAGTGCATGTTTTTCTCTCAACCCACAGAAAAGGGCTCATGCAGGAAGAAAAGGAATAATTGCAAGCTGTTTGAAAAACAGTATGTGGTTATATGAATGCTTACGTAAATCACATCCTTGAAATTATTATCAATACTGAACAGTGTTTTTGGCAATGTCACTCAAACTTGCATGTTGAATAAGAGGAAATTGCCTCACCAAAAATACTTCAAGTTAATATCATGTCCAAGAGGGATTTTTGACCTGTCAAAAGTGCATCAACTTCAGACCAGTTCAGAAACTTGAAACTAAAATGATTATTTTTATACCTGGATTCATTCTTCTGATCCAGCAGGTAATCCAAAATTGAGGAAGAATTCACAATTTGGCAATGGCCTCGGCCCTGAGTGTTCTGGATTTTGGATCTCAAACATGCCATGATGCAAGAATGAATTGACAAGTTTTGAGTCTGTTGTACATTCAGTTGTTTAAGGTGTATTCTGATAACTAGTAGAGTCAAGAATGAAAAATCTTTATACAACTAAATTAAAATGCTGTGCATCTGGAAATCTAACATAAAAACAAAATGCTGGAAATACTCAGCAGATCAGACAGCATCGATGGAAAGAGATGGTCGGAAAGAAATGGAATTTTAACCCCTCAGGATGCAAAATGAGGCTGCTTGCCTCAGATTTTAGTGTTTATTTGGATTTAATAATTTTGGGCTGAATTTTGAAGGTTTGGCATACCCAGTGTTGGGTGTAGTTAAATGCTTTTCCAGAATTTTTCCACTGTCCCAGCGGCCCCCAAATGAGCCTTTAGAGTTGCTTCACCCACCCATGTGATTGCTCAAAATCCCATCACATAGCCAGCTATTTCACTTTTATGATCTCTATCTCCTCACCCCATCCCCGTAAACGGTCTTTCTGCTAATCCCACTTGCCCTTCTCATCCATTTCTTGTATATGGCCTGGTGCCTGTTGAAAGGTCTCCTGTCTGGCAGCCAACTAACTTGAAAGTGGCCAGGTGCCCAAAAGGAAATAGTGGGGGGGGGGGGGAATGTCAAATTCTACCATCAAATTCTACAGTTCCTTCATCTTTCAACCCTTTTTAACCACCCCATAAATTTAAACTGTTAACTCTGTTTCTCCCTCCAAAGATAATGCCAGATGTTGTGTTTTTTGTTCATTTCGTGTTTTGATTTATCCTTTTATGTCTTATTCTTGGCATTTTTGAATCAACCTGTTCAGATGTAAAACACATCTCTGGCGCAGCTGGGACTTGAACCTGGGTCTCCTGGCTCAGAGACAGGGACACTGTCACTGCACCACAAGAGCCCCCTCTTTACTTATTCTTAGCTTTGTATTAATGCTACTTATTCACATCCCATCAGTGTTTAATTATATAATGTCATTTTTGGATCCTGCATGGCTTGAGTGTAATTGAATTTTCTTTTTTTTTCACTTTTATTTATGGAGTATATTGAATATGGGTTTATGTTAAATGAGTTAATACTTTAGTTAATTTTCAAAGCTAATAAAATCCCTAGTTTAACTAATGACATCAGACTACTACATTGTTCTTTGCTGAGTTGCTTGATGTCAGCTGATGCAGTGATGGGGTACTGCACTTGACTTCAGGATGGCAACTTTGAAGAGGGCAAAGGATTCTTGATTCTATTTGCAAACCCATGAATTCTCTTGAAAATGCACATGTGGATGTTGGATAAAGGAAAATTGGAGATCATCTATGATGTCTGCTGTAGTCTTGCAACCAGATGAATAATAGTTTTAAGGAAAAGCTAATGAAGGGATAAGGCAACAAAATCGGTGAAAAGAACAATTGCAATATTCATTACCAGGAGCTGTTATCCTTGTGTTCAGTTAAAATGGTCCTATTGATGTTGACGTTGGATTTGTCATTTTAGCAGCTCTACAGAATTCATAAACATTAAGGACATTTCGGATATAAATCTAATTATTTGGTTAAAATATTTCTTCTTATCTGAAACTTTATTTTTTCTTTCTTTGCAGGCGACATCTGACCAAATTGTCACTGATATTCAGTCATATGTTGGCAGAGCTGAAAGCTATATTCCAAAACGGAGTGTTCCAGGGGGACACTTTCAGGATCACAAAAGCAGATGCAGCAGATTTCTGGAGGAAAGTGTTTGGAGAAAAGTAAGCTCCTTAGTTTGGTACAGTTTAGAGTCCTGACAATTTCCACCTCCAAAATAAAAATCACCCTTTGTTTATGATATAATTATCTTACTGGTTTGTGTTTTCAGTTCTTAATGAATGGAGTATCATGTAAGTAAGTTAATTGCATCAGGCAGGTTACTACTGAACTTCCTGCTCCACACCATTTTTTTTAAAGACATGCATTCCAGCTCTCTCTCTTTCCATTATATAGTTTCAAACATGTTCATCATGGTCTTCTTCCCATCAGCCATCCCATCCTGACCACCTGGTTTTAATTCTAGAGATCTCTGTATGAATCTGGTTTTCTCCCATCCTTGTGCAGCCCATTCTCATAGCTGCATGCTACATTTTAGAAATAAATCATTTTGTATCACTGGTAGGGTGTGTTTTTGAAGTGCAGAACTATTATTAAAATGCAAACTTCCTCAATCAAACCTAACATAGAGAATGGAATGAAAGACTTGGAAGTTTTTTTTATTTTTCTGTACCTCTGTCCCCCTGTGCTGTTACCCTCTACTACTCATCCTATCAAATTTCTTTATCTTTCCTTCTCAAGTTGAACTATACTTTCTTCTCTGTCATTGCTCTGTCAGTGTTTTTCACATTTCAAGAACATTTTCCTACAATCTAACAATCGATGCTTTGCTTTCCACTGCTCATCATTTTCCATTTCATGCAACCATCCTGAGTGCAAATTCTTTCTTGTTAAGAACAATCAGTCTCTCCCACTGCTTGCCAAATCGCTCAGTGCTCTCCAATCTCTGTGCTCAGTGCTTCGTTTCTTCATCACCCAAGAAAAAAATGTTGTTCCATATTTTCCCTCCTCACATCCCACAGACTCCTCCAAACTTTCTTGTCTCTTGGTAAACTTATTCTGAATGCTCAACTCACTCTCAACACTCCAGACACCAGGAGCTGATACTATCAAGCTCAACTTAGCTGTTGATCAAATCAAAATTGTTCCCCAGTACTATAAAAAGTCCAGATCCCCATTGTTAACCATGTAAGCCCACGATCTCTCTTTATAATCCCTGGATTACTCATTATTTATTATCACAAAACACCAGGAATGATCTGTCTTCTCCCCTGCTCTTTTTCAAGTATTGCTGTAAGCCTGCTATCTACTTAAAGTTGAGAACATCTTGTTGCTGCCTTGCTCTGTATCCTGGTTTCAGAAAAAGTGCACAATCTTAAAGGGAGTGGCTGTAGTCATCATTGTGGAAAGATATTGCACCATAACCCCAAAAGTTTATGTTGACTTTCATCCTCTTGGTTATAACTATAGTCCTAACCTCGAGAATTTGCAAATTTCTTTGCTTTAAAAATTTATTTCAAGGCACATGGGTATCACTGGCTAGGCCACCATAGTTGCCCATCTTTAATTGCCTTTGCAAAGATTGATAAGCCTCCTTCAGTCTCGTGAACCTCTTTAGTACACGTGTTATGGGTAAACTTGCATGCTGTTAGGAAGGGAGTTCCAGGATATTAGCTCAGTGACAGTGAAGAAATAACATTATAGTTCCAAATCTGTGTGGTGTATGGCCCAGAGTGGTGTAGTGGCAACAATGAACAGATAAACAATTGACTAATTTCAAGCTGGTTTAAGGAAATTTGTTTGTGATCATAACTTTTGATAACTATTAATTAAATGCATGCAATGTGGAAGAGATTTAGGTCTTTGCAAAAATGTCTTTGAAGCATTTTGTTAATTATGGGGATCATGGGATCTTTTACATCCAAGATTCCTGACAGTACCTCAATTTAACATCTCACCGAAAATAAAATGCTATCATGCAGAATTCCCTTGGTACTGTTCTGTCTGGATTATGAGCTGAAGTCCTGGAGTGGGGCTTGAACCTATAACCTTCTGTTTCAGGGGAGTGATGAATCAATTCATATCAACTCGAGTAAAAGACAAAAATCACTGTTTCACAATAAAATAAAACAGTCCACCAGCAAGATAGAAACAGAAAATGCAAATGCTGCACCTTACACTCAAGTATTTGTTTGGAAGCAGTTGTTAAATGGCTTGCACCAGCAGCTTCCTGGGTGTGGGAGCACAGAGCATGCAGTCATTCATCAGACCAGCTGCACTCCCACTCTTGCTGTCCTTTCATAAAATGTACTAATCTTTCTTTAGCAGCCTTGGCCTTAATTTGGAGCCCTTCATTCAAAACAGAACCTTTATAGTGGCAAACAATGACTGTATTTGTTTACAAATGTGTAATTGTGAAGGGATGCCAATCAAAGAAATATTAAAACATAAAACTTTAATCAGTGGTGTTCCCCCTGAAATATAAAGATCTGTTCAGTATTTCAACTTTTTGAGTGAGGTTATTTTGTATGCATTTACTATTTTGTAACTGCAAACCTCATTTGACAAAATAAATCCCATTCCTATGAAGTGAAAGGCCCTCAGTTTCCTATATTAGTTGTGTTGAGACCTGTTCGTTGATAATTATATTCCTGGAAACTTTGGGAAAACTTCAGAGTAGCAATTTAGTCGCAAAAGGAAATACTGATTTGTTTTATATTTGTTCAGGGGATGTGGACATTGCTGGCTAAGCTAACATTTATTGCCCATCCATGCTTACTTTGGAGAGGGATAATATGTGATTTGGAGGGGAGCTTGCATATGGTATGCATCTGCTGCTCTTGCTTTCCAGATGGTAGAGGCTTGGTGAGTTACTCCAGTGTATCTTGTACATGGTACACACTGCTGCCACTGTGTTGGAAATAACGGAGTGAAGATTTAAGGTGATTTACAGAGCACCAGTCAAGCAGGTTGCTTTGTCCTGGATGTATCAATCTTATTGAATGTTTTTGGATCTGCATCAATCCAGGCAATTAGAGAATATTCCATCCCACTCCTGATTTGTGCCTTGTAGATTGTGAACAGTTACTTGCTGCAGAATTCCTTGTCTGTGAAGGCTGTTGTAATCACACTATTTTTTATGGCTGGTCCACTTCAGTTTCTGATTGGTGGTAACCCCCAGTATGTTGGTAGATGCTACCTGACTTTAATCAGACCCAAATATAGTACACAATTACAAAGGCTGTAATCAGCTAAGAGAGGGTTAATAATTATGATAGTACAGAATTTATATTGCCCAAAAGGACACATTTTGTTGAAGCTTTTCACCTTGTACTCGTTAGGACAGTTTGCAAGATTCAAAGGGACAACCAACATTTATGCTGCATGAGAGGGAAGTGCTGTTTGGTTGGCAAGTGGACTCTGGTGGAGGCATTGCCATGGAGAATACACAGATTAACGCTGATTGACACTCAACAACTAGGCTCTGTTTAAATTTTAAACCAGGTAGGCTGATTTTGATGAGCCAGCGAATGGCTGTCACCTATTTTGCTGAGTTGAAACAAGTGCAGTGAATCCTTTATTTATTCATTCACGGGATGAGGGCGTCACTGGCTAGGCCAGCATGCATTGCCCATCCCTAATTGCCCAGCAGGCAGTTAACAGCCAGCCACACTGCTGTGGGTCTGGAGTCACATGTAGGCCAGACCAGGTAAGGATGGCAGTTTCCTTCCCTAAAAGACATTAGTGAACCATATGGGTTTTTCCAACAATCGACAATGGATTCATGATCACCATTAGACTCTTAGTTCCAGATATTTATTGAGTTCAAATTCCACCACCTGCCGTGGCGGGATTCGAACCCAGGTCCCCAGAACATTATCTGGGTCTCTGGATTAACAGTCCAGCGATAATACCACTAGGCAATCGCCTCTCCCGTACATGCTCTTTCTGCCTGCAAAGAACAGGACCTGTGTATCAATATATGTTGCTAACCATGACGATCATGAACAGACAAGATTTTGGATGTTGGCTGTAATGAAAAGCTAAGAAAGTGTGACTTTATTTATGGAGGTGTGATACTTAAATGTGATCTACATTTTGTAGCATTTATGAATGTAGCTAAAAAGAGACATGAAGTCGAAGCAATTTTTCTTACACTCCTCCGGACTGAAATGTAAGAAAACCAACCATAGAAAGGAAACAGATGATTGTTTGGACAATGGTGGCATGGAGATGCAGCCGAAATTGTCAACTCCCTTAGTTAACTGATTCATTTCAAATCAGGAAAGTCAACTGCAATTGGTCTGAGTGTTGTCAAGAAGATACAACTGGGATTGGCTGCCTCTGTAGCCCTTTCCTCAATGAAAAAGATGCAGTGAGTGGCATCAAAGAGCCCTGGCAAAACTGGAATCAGTGGGTGTCAGGGAACAAACTCTGGTGGTTGGAATCATACCTTGCACGTAGGAAAACGGTTGTGGTTGTTGGAGGTCAGTCATCTCCACTCCAGGACATCTCTAGAGGAGTTCCTCATAGTGTCCTAGGCCCAAACATCTTCAGCTGCTTCATAAACGACCTTCCCTCCATCATAAGGTTGAAAGTGGGGATGTTCACCAATGATTGCACAATGTTCAGAACCATTTGCGGCGACTCCGATGCTGAACATAAGAACATAAGAACTAGGAGCAGGAGTAGGCCATCTGACCCCTCGAGCCTGCCCCGCCATTTAATAAGATCGTGGCTGATCTTTGACACTCAGCTCCACTTACCCGCCCACTCACCATAACCCTTAATGACCTGAAGCAGTCAATGTTCAATGCAGCAAGATCTGGACAATATCCAGATGGGCTGACAAGTGTAACATTTGTGCCACACAAATGCCAGGCTATGTCCATCACCAATAAGAGACGATATAACCATTGTCCCTTGACATTCAATCACTGAATCCCCACTATCAATATCCTGAGGGTTATCATTGACCAGAAACCCAACTGGACTCACCACATAAACAAACACAGTAGCTACACGAGCAAGTCAGAGGCTAGGAATACTGCAGCAAGTAATTCACCTCTTGACTCCCCAAAGCCTGTCCAACATCTACCAGGCACAAACCAGGAGTGTGATAGAATACTTCCCACTTGCCTGGATGAGTGCAGCTCCAACAGCACTCCTAAAGCTTGACACCATCCAGGACAAAGCAGCCTGCTTGAATGGCACTACATCCACAAGCATCCATTCCCTCCACCACTGATGCTCAGTAGCAGCAGTGTGTACTATCTAC